GGGCCTAAAAAAAATTTTTAACCCTAATTGCGGGCCGGGCCGGGCCTCAAAAATAGGCAATTTGCAGGCCCCTAACCTGCACTATGTTTGTAAATCTACGTACTGTTACACCTGATCTTGCGCAAATAGGTGTACGCCCCCCTTATACTGGGGTAGTTGTGTCCGTTGACTTACCGGTGTCTGTTTTACGGGTAGTTGTTCAATCACTACCACTACCGTATCGATATCATTCGATTCAATATTGATCTTGTTCTTTTTCTAAGGCTGAACGCATTGCTGGTTATTTTGTGTATATATACAATTGTTTTTTTTTTTTGGCTAACATAGATATCATGACGCATACTCTTAAAGATAGGCCAGACGTGACTTTTGGTTAGTAATTTGTGTAAGAAACGCGTTCACATTTTTCGCGTTTACTGTGCCAGGAGGACATTCTTTATTGAAAAGCTTGACAAAAAACTTTTTCATTTTGCCGTACTAAAAAAAAATAATTATGGTAATTGAATTATCTAGAAAATAAACAAGGAGAACAAGGATTTTGTTCATTTATAAGAGGTCTTCCACAGGTGAACTTTAATATTAGATTGAAAATAATTTATTTTAAATTATATTAATCAGTTGACATTTGGCGTAGAAACCTCAAAATACCATTCGATTATTTGAAAGGAGTGCTGGGGTTGGTTAATGGCTCTTCATAATTCATGACAAAGAATCTTCATAACGCTTATTGACACGCGTACTTCATAATAATATTAAGGAATATTACAGTGTCCATGGAGACGATGCATTATATATTGCACAAAACGTTTATAAAACGACCTCCGTTATTAAATACTTGGGTGGTATGCGTTTACGTTTGAGCGCAATCAGATGTTACTTTTTTTTTTTTTTCTAAAGACGTGTTGAATCATTTTAAATAGGAAATTTTAAGACTGGAGTCCCTAGTTGTGCATTATCTCGTCAGAATTTTGAAACATTCTTGCGCGATGCTTTAATGAATAAACAAATGAAAGTAGAAATATGGGCTCAAGAACAAAAAAAAGCAAATTCTTGGAAAATAATTCAACAAGTACTTGTTATTTGACATGATTTATTCTTGGATGCCTCATATATACTGCGTTATTCACATATATAAATTACTCTAGGCATCGCCCGGAAACATACAGGATCTCGAAGATTTTCTATTTTCAAATGTTGAGATCACTACATCGCCTATGGTACTCAGCGTTAAATTGCAGAATTCAGGTGAACAGAAAATTGTTGGAGTAGCTTTTGCAGATACTACCATTCGAGAATTGGGTGTATCAGAATTTATCGACAACGAGCTATTCTCAAATTTTGAGGTATATATAATCGTTATGTCATATAGGATATATATATTGGTATTTTTTAACAAGTGAAAATTTCAGTCCTTATTGATACAACTCGGTGTGAAGGAATGTATAATTCAATCGGATGAAGTTCACAAAGATTATGATCTTGCAAAATTACGAGAAGTGATCGATAAATGCGATATCGTTATTACTGAACTCAAGAAAAGTAATTTTTATGTTTAAAAATACATATTAAATATTTCATATCGAGGTTCTTTCTGATTATTGTATACTTTTTAAACAGGTTATTTCAATACCAAGGATATTGAACAAGATCTAAATCGCTTACTGGGAGATGACATATCTGTGGTTTCTTTGCGTAAGTATGAATATATTAACACGAGATTTCAAAGTTATTTATATATATATATTTTTTAATGCATACTACAGCTGAATTTGAAATGAAAAATGCGATGGCTGCTTGCGCAAGTATAATTAAATATTTGTCGGTAAGTGGTCTTATTTAACTGTAAAATAAAGCTTCTTAGTATTTTGACTATGAATATCTATTCTTGGATCCAAAGCTTTTGACAGATACGAGCAATTTCGGATATTATATTTTACGACATCATGATTTATCGCAATTTATGAAATTGGATGCATCTGCGTTGAGAGCGTTAAATTTGATGCCGAGTCAACATGATGGTATGGATTTATTGTCATAAATGCACTTATATATATTAATTATCACCGAATATCAATGATTTGTAGGTCCCAACAAGAATACAAGTTTATATGGTCTTTTAAATAAATGCAAGACTTCTCAAGGATCAAGAATGTTGAGCCAATGGCTCAAACAGCCACTGATGAACATAAAAGAAATTGGTATGGCAATTTCATATATCAATTTTCTGAATTTTAAACGGATTTACCAAATTTCCTTATTTTTAGAGCAAAGACAAACCTTCGTGGAAATATTTGTGAGCGATACGGAACTCCGACAATCTTTAAGAGTATATTCGAAAGATATTTTGTAGCCTTGATTATAATAAATATTAAATATCGTATAATTAAGCATATCTTTTTATCTGATACTATCGGTTTCAGGAAGAACACCTTAATAACTTGCCTGATCTTCATCGTATAGCTAAACGTTTTCAAAGGGGAAAAGCTACATTACAGGTTAGCAATAGTTCATGTTTTTAGATAAATTTTCTACTATACTTGCCATAAATGATTCCAGACTGTTCTTCCATAATTCGGTCCGTACTTAATCATTACATATATATAGGATGTTATACGTGTATATCAGGCGATTAACAAATTACCTGGGCTTATAAGCGCTTTTGAATCATTTAATTCAATGGACGACAGATTAAGAGATCTTATCGAAGAAATATTTCTTATTAAGCTAAGGGTAGACTTATTTGATGTTTTAAAAGATTATGCTGTCGGGCAGTTGTCTTTATTAATGTGCTATGATTAGGAACACAATGACCAACTTGAAAAGTTTAAAGAGTTAGTTGAAACAACAGTTGACTTTGAAGCTGCGGAGCATCATCATTATGTGCTCAAGGCTGATTTTAATGATGACCTAAAAGGTTAGATTTATAAATATAATAATGATTTTTGTTAATTGTCTTTCTTATTTTAATACTTCAATGTATAGTAATTAAAGAAAGACTTGATGAAACGATGAGTGCAATGAATCAAGAACATCAATTGGTAGACTTTATATCATTTTAACTGATGTTAACATTGTTGACATTCAAAAATGTTAATTCATACTGGAGTTTATCGTTATTGAAGGTTGGAAGAAAACTCAATGTTGATACAGAAAAGAAACTTCATCTTGAAAAGCAAGGAACATACGGATATTGTTTGCGAATGTCCAGACTTGTATTATCTTTACGATTTATTTTGATACACGTTTATTCATTCGATCATATGAAATTTTTAATCTATTTTATTTTATTGAAATAAAGGAAGCCAATTGTCTTCGTGGACAATCGGAATACATTGAACTTGCAACGCAACGGACTGGTGTATTTTTTACGACACGAAGGTTGAAAGAATTAAGTTCTAATTTTTTGAGCGAGACGGAGCACTATGAAGACGTACAAAGCTCTCTTGTGAGAGAGGTTATCAATATTTCTGGTAAAATGCATATATATATCTATCTTTGATATTTTATTACATACGCGTTTATTTATGTGTCCAATGTAAAATCGAATTACTAGCCTCTTATTGCTCGGCAATGGAAACATTGAATGTATTATTGGCGCATATTGATGTCTTGGTTACGTAAGTTTTTGAATTTAAAAAGTTTTAGGTATTGGTATCATTTTGCGTAAACTGATAGTATACATTTCAATTAGTTTTGCAGATGTTTCCATACGTGCACCTACACCTTACATTCGCCCAAAAATGAACGATAAAGGTTAGTTTTAATTAAAACAGAAATATACAATTCTTTTACTAACTATGCTTTCATGAACATTTTGTAAAAGGTGAAGGTCATGTTGTTTTAAAAAATGCTCGCCATCCTTGCCTAGAAATTCAAGATGGTGTTTCGTTTATTCCAAATGATGTCGAATTAATTCGAGGTTAGAATAGCATTGTTATATAATTTTGCGTCTCGTGAGTTATAAAACAAAATCTTTATTAATAGATCAAAGCGAATTGCACATTATCACGGGTCCAAACATGGGTGGCAAATCGACATACATTCGACAAGTATATATATACATACATAAAGTTCTTTTTAAACGAGGAATATCCTTTTATTACTAATACATAATACTATAGATTGGTGTTATTGCTTTGATGGCGCAAGTTGGATGCTTTGTTCCATGCACGGAAGCTAGTTTATGCATATTTGACTGTATACTTTCCAGAGTGGGTGCTGGAGACAGCCAGCTCAGAGGTGTATCTACATTTATGTTGGAAATGTTAGAAACTGCTACAATTCTGAAGGTATTTTTAAATCTTGTTGAATTTGTGTATTTATATCATTACACTCATGGAATTTTCACTGTTAGACTGCGACAAAAAATTCTTTGATTATTATTGATGAGCTCGGACGGGGGACAAGCACTTATGATGGATTTGGACTCGCTTGGGCCATATCAGAGTTGGATATTTTTATTTATTTAGTTTTTTTTAATGCAAAATTGTATTAATAGTGGTGTCGTTTTAAATGATTTTAGGTACATCTCGACACAGATACGCTGTTTTTGCTTGTTCGCAACACATTTTCACGAATTAACTGCACTGAGTGAGGAAGTTCCACACGTGCGTAACCTCCATGTTACGGCGCACATCGACCAGAAGGCTTGCGGAACACGTGACATTACATTGTTATACAAAGTTACTGAAGGTAATTATGGTATAAAATGGATTGTAGTTTTATTCATTAAAATTTCAAATATATTTGAAATAGGTGTCTGTGACGAGAGCTTTGGCATTCACGTTGCTGAATTGGCCAATTTCCCAAAAATTGCAGTCAAAGTATGACTCTTTCATTCCTTTTTTTTAAAAAAAAAAATCTTGCATTTTTTGCTTATGTTCCTCTATCTTATAGCTTGCAAGAAGAAAGGCAAATGAATTAGAAGTCTTTATGCAACGTAAATCTTTATGAGTAGTAATTATTGATACAATTGTGTAAATGTATGTTAGTGTATTAATTACATTTTCATCATTAGATGAACAAGATAATAACGCAAAAGACAAATATTCAAAACAGGAAATTGAGGTACTTTGCTTGCAGTTGAGTTTATTGGTCTTCAAATTCGTAACTCATATCTATTCTAACATAGGAAGGAGGCGCTATCATCAAAGAATTTCTTAGAGATATTTCCCAAACTTCCAACATTGAATCTATGGATTACAATTCAATATTAGGTCTTATTCAGGAAGTGAAAAGCAAATATCAAAAAAAAATTGAGGGGAATCCATGGTGCTGCGATGTTATAGCCGGATTTTAAGAAAAAGTTTATGGTTATAATTACTGTGCAATAATAATCTGCATAATCTTCAAATTTAATTACGTTTGTGTGTACATAGGCATATAGTCCGTGATATAATATTAATACCATAATGCTCTTTGCGACAGACTCATAGTGTTTACACAAAATGATACAACAATTACGTTTTTAATGCATTTCGATCAAAACTAGTTTCTTTTTTGATGCATTTGCATTAGTGATTGAACGAGGGTTTATAGAAAGACATTCGTCTGATTGGTTAATTTTTGTCGATCTATCCGTGATAATTAACCAATCAAGTTAATATTCGATGTTTTGCAGCAAACAAAAGAATATACTAATATATGTAAAGGATCAAAAACAATCAAATTTTATGTTATATGATTAAAACACATGAAATATAAGAAATAATATTTTTTATCAAAATCAAGTATATAATATATATTTTTATTAGTTAATTTAAATTTATTTACAATTAATAGATTCAAAAACATTGCAAAAATTAAACATACTTTTGATTTTTTTTATTATAACAAACTTGCATCTATTATATTAAATTAAATAATTAGTAATTGTTTATTTGGATTTACTTAGTTGAATTGTTAATAATTATATTTTTTATGAAATGTAGTAATTTGAAGTAGTTTATAAGTTGTTAATTCTCAAATGGCAAATTTAGTATTCAAATTTTGTTTATAAGAAAACTTGAGAATTATATTTAAAAAATCTTAATAATAACTTTTCTTGATAATTATTTAGACACAAAAACAGTTAAAAAAAAAAAGGTTTTTGCAAATTTGACAATAGAAAACATTTTAAGTAGCATTAAACAAAAAGAAGTAGTAATATAAAAAGCAATAAAAGAAATATAGAAAAAAATTGTTTTTTTTTTTTTTAATATTAAGGCAAGTAATTGTGACCCAGGAGTTTATTGATAATTAGTTAGCATATAACTATTATGTACAACAGCTACAGAGGCAATCATGGAAAGAGTGTACAACTAGCTACTTATACAACTTTAGTTATTGTTTATTTTAAGTAGTTCACTTGAAGGTTCTATACTAGTTTCCATATCTAGAACCCACCTGTGGGTTCTCTACTTAAACACTCTAGTTCTTGTATTTACTTCTACCTTATCAACTGCAGCCATTGCTGCAAATATATCATGGTCACTAAGTCATATTTAACTTTATACTAAGCCTACTAAAGCCTTCTGTATCCCATACTTACAGCTAACCCAGTACTGCTCTGGCCTAGACCATCACTTGCAGTCAGAACTAATCATTAAACTGCTATATCCTTGTAAAGTTCACAGAGACCCTAATACCTTCCTTTTCTAACTTTTATACACCTATTTCTGAACTTACAAGACCCACAAAACTTTCCAAACTACCAATCCAAATGACCCATCCAGTGAACTCAGTAGTCTGGTTGGTATATGCTCCTCTACACATGTTGTCGTTCGATCCATCCAAGGTCTTAGTAATCCTTTTTTAAAGGCTTCTGATGGTTTGGTAATACCATCGAAAGTCCATGCTACCTTTTTACTCGGGATTTCCAAGTGAGTTTCTGATTCTTCAGTTTCTTTGCTTTCTATGCCTAGTGGTCTTATCATAAGTTTGTACTGAAGTTTTATGCAATACTGGTTATTAACATTTTTCTTTGTAGGTGTAATATTACACTTTGCATAGATGTCCTGAGCTCTTATTCGAGATGGTGCAACAAAGGTTACAAATATACAAATCCAACTAATCGACAGAGACAGTTACTATAACACAGACCTTATTTTTTAAAATTCATTGTCCATAGAATTTGAACTCTAAACCTGACACTTGAGGGTTGACAACCTGACCACTTTACTAGGTCGCCACACCCCTTATAGAAGAAAATTATATTGCAAAACTAATAGTATAGTTATAAGAAAAATTTAAAAAATTTTAAAAATTTTCTAAGAAATAATAATAAAAAATTATTATTAAACTATATATATATATTTGTTTATATTATACAACAAATATGTAATAATAAAACAATAATAGATATATGCAAACTACCAAATTAGAATCAATAAACAAGTTGAAATTACCAAAATTACAAAGACAATAGTTAAATATATAGATAAAAAGATATAAAAGATTAGAAAAAGTTATTACAAAAAAAATTAAATAAATAAGAATAAGTATAAAAAAAACAAATAAAAAAAAATATAGATAAAAGCTATAAAATAGTTAAGACAAATCAAAAATAAATAATAAAAAGTTGGTTAAATAAGCTTTATAAAAAAATAATATTTAACAGATTTATTAAGCAAATTAAAAAAAAACAAATTTGTTAACAAGATCAGAAAAGGTTAGAATAGAAATAACAAAACATTACAAGAAACAGTTAAGAAAAAAAAATATCAGATTAGAAAAGATATCAAAAAAGTGAAAAAAAAGTATATAAACTGTAAAAGAATATTAAAAAAGAATAATATACAGAAGCTGAAAAAAAAATTAAAAATAAAAAATAAAAAGAAGTGCTAAGAGAGCTAAAAACAAAAACAGTTTTAAGTATATTAGATATAACTCAAGAAGTGTTTAGAAACTTTACAGACTTGTATTTAGAAATAAAAAAAATATCAACTAAATAAAAAATAACACAAATTTATCCAATACTAAAAAATGTTAAATAAAAATATAGTTTAAATAATATTTAACCAATAGCACTAATAAAAATATTTAAAAAAATTATAACAAAGATAGTAACAAAAAAGCTTGCCAAGGTATTTATAAAAAAAAATTACTTAAAAAACCAAATTATATAGATCTTTCAGATAATTCAACAAAATAACTAGTATATATTCTAAATATGAGAATGAAAAAAGCAAAAAAGAAAAGCAAAAAAGTATAAATACTTTTGTAAGATATAAAAAAGATATATGACTCAGTTTTATTTAAAGGTCTTGAATTAGTATTGCAAAGAGTCAAAATACTTAAAGGAACAGTAAATATATTTTATTTCTTTTATAAGACAATTAAAAATTATTATAGCTTATAGTCTAATAGAAGAAATAATAGCAAAAAATAGATAAAGTAATATTACTAAAAAGATAAAAGTTTAGACTATATAGTAGTGTAACAAACAAAAAAAAATATACAATGCAATAATATTATAAGATATTGTCAAGTAACAATTGTATTGTTACAAAGTAGATTTTAGCATACTATATTATATAGTAGTATTAGTAATTATATATTTATTTATTATTGTATTTTATATTATATTTATTATTAGTTATTAGTTAGTTGATAGTTATATTATATAATAGATAGATAAAAGGATTTTAATTGGCTATTAGAAATGTGGTACAGCTATATGACACTAAGTAACATTTGTAATGTTACTATTGTTTCACAAACCTCAAGTACCTTTGTACAAGTTTCATGTATTCTAGCACCAAATTACTGTGCTAAGTGCTACAGCACAAGAACCCCAAGTGTTTCTGCACAAACCTCAAGTATTTTTGCACAAATCCCAAGTGCCTTTGTACAGATCCAAGTACCTAAACACAAGCCCCAAGTGTTTCAAATATAAATGACAAATGATACAAACAATATTCTTAATTGCCTCTACACAGTCACTACTACTCTAAGCACAGTATCATTTAATGTTGTTCGAACCTTCACTATCCCAACTACAATGATATCTAATGTTGTTTGAACTCCCATTATCCCAAGTATAGTATCAAGTAATATTGCTCGAATCCCCACTATCCCTACTAGGTAAAAAGATATATAAAAGATAGCTTTTATCTTTCCTTGCCAATTTTAAGTTCCTATACTTCAATCTAGACTCTTCTACCTCTACCCCTAATTTGTAAAAGTGATATTTCTCCTTTAGAGTAATTCCTACAGACAAGGTTGTCACTGTGTGTTTATTTAATAAAAGTTAATCTATATATTATTACTATCTCAAACCATTTGCCTACTGCTATATAGTAAAATGAACTACTACACCTTCACTCCATATATATTTGCAATAGTCAATCACTGTACCAGGTAACCTTGTTATTTGGTTGTATTGTACCAAGAAGGTTACAACCCTATAACATTTTGGTACCTTCTAATAGAAATATAAAAATTTATCACAAGAAAGGAACAAAAACCTCTCTCAAGGAAACTATCCCAGGAAGCAATTTTCTCTCTAGAAAGGATTTTATTTTAAAAACAGTAATTGTGAAAAAGTATTTTGAAATTTTGGAATTATTATTTTAGATATACCTCTACTAACTCAAATTAAATTAAATTATTTGTATTTTACATTTGTATTTTGTATTTGGAATTGAAGAAGTTTATGCTTTTATCTTCTATCTTTAAATTTTTGAAACAATCTTGATTTTGATTTTTAATTTTTGATTTTACATTACTTACTAGCCAATGAACATATTTTGAATTGTTTAAACTTTTAATTAATTACTTGAATTCTTTACTTGCTAGCACTATTGTTTTAGATTTATTCTCTTGATTGTTATTATTTTATTTTATTATTTTATTACTTGTTAGTACTAACTCTTTTCGAAAAAATTTATTTTATAGAAGATTTTCTTACTTAATTTCATTTAGAAAATATTCAAAAACACCAACAAATTCATAGTAAAAATTTCTCTCTCACTACAACTGTATTGCAAACCTTTGCAATTAATTTATCTTGCCTATAGTATTATCTACCTCCTACTCTTTATAGATGCTTTGTTGCATTTTGGATTTGGTATTCCACAGACTACTAAGCTATTTCTTTTAGTAAAGTTACTCATTTCAACTTTTTAAGATTAGCTACTGCTGGATGCCCAGCTGCCTGAGTTGCAGCTAGAAACATTATTTTTAGTTGTCATTATCAAATCTAGATAACTAACCCTCGAGAAATTGTACAAACCATCTTTCAAGGATATA